GTAGTAGAGTGCGCAGCCACATACGCAGTGAGCCTTTTGCCCTCTCTGCTGTGTATTTGGCACCTGAGCAGAAGCGATTGTTACCCTGAGCTTATGCTTTGTTCCCAGTGTAGAAATCAGAGAATAAGAAATGGGATTCAGGCGGCCTTTTCATACTTCCTCTCCCGTTCTCGGTGATTTCCACAGACATAGCATAATTCCTATGATTTCATTTGAAAGGAGAGACCCCCTGCTCAGTGCTGAGTGATGAGAAATGAATGAGGGATAAAATATGCTTGCACTAATTTGCATAATAGGGTCCCATTGGCTACAGAGCTGTGTTTGTTGAAGTGGAGACCAGCCAGGGGATTCTGCGCACACAGAGCTGAGCTGGGAGTTCTGGTGCGGGCCCCGGTAATATCCTCAGAGTAATGATAACGTGTCTTAAACTGGAAATTACCTCCCTGGAAATGAAAAGAAAGGGTCAGCCTGTCTGATCCTTCCCTCTCTGTGGCGGGGGAGGAGGCTGAGCAACCCAAGCCCGCTCGCTTTCTTTCTGCTAAGCGCCTCCGTCTTTCTCTCTCCCCGGTAACAATTTCCAGCAGGAGTCCAAATATACTTAAACACCCATATATGTCATTTTCTTTTACGGAGACAAAGGCAGGCGCCGCAAGAGAGTTTTATGCTCAAGGCGCAGTCGCTTATGACGGGCGATCTGCTCTTAAGATAGAAAGGCGAGCGCCTTCCACTTAGAGCTGGTGGTTTTGCAAATCCATTTTCCCGTCATGTTATTACTCCCGTGACTTCCAACAACATTTATTTCCCCTCCCAAGCAATAGGCTCCGATTGTAAAATAAAGTCGCTATATGTTTCAGGGCAACCCCGCTGCGTGGGCTTCCTGGCATGCTGTTAGAAAGTGCTCTAATGGAAGCACGGTGCAAGAACCACCTTGGGGGTCTTTAATAAAACTAGTTAGAACACTAATATATTTTCCTAATTGTTACCAATGCCACGGTCTTCTTAGTGGGGGAGGGCTTCTCCTATTCATTTTCATGTGTGATCTCCACAAACTACCATTGAATTCATTGGCCAGATCTTTAGAGTGTAGAAGCATTTCTGAAAAATTAGACATGTCTCCCTGAGCACATCATTTTAATCCTATGTATTTAGAAATTCTGAAAGGAGTCAAGATAAATAGCCAAGATTAACTTTTGTTGAACAGTGCTGTTTAAGGACCCACAGTATGTTGTGATAGACTGATGCGAGCTATAAAATAATGTATCTAACTAGTTCCGGTTTGGTTTTAACAGGTCAGTCACAGGATTACTCCTGTCCTCTCACCTCTGCCCCATGGCTGGTGCCACCAAACTGAAGTTACTTTTGTCATAAGACTATCGGGATGTGTGTCTATGTAGGATTTGCAGGTTTCCCTTAGAGAGCCTTTATTATAATAGGATTATAAAGGATAAGAAAGCAGGTTGAGGAACCAACCATCCAGGGCTCAGATCCCAGCTCCTCTACATGCTGGCTCTAGAACCACAGGCAAGATACCTCATCTCACCATGCCTCTGACTACTTCCCTATACAACGGAGATAGCAGTAGTACCACAGTGTAGGGTTACTGTAAAAATCTAATGACTCAGCCCATTGAAAGCACTTGGAAGAATATTGGGCAGATAATAATTAGCAAGTATTATTATTTTCATCATAGTCATATTTTTAATAAGCATCAAGTCCTAATACTAGTTTACTTTAGATTGCTTCTAGGTCACTGTTTTTTTTTTTTTTTTTTTTTTTGTTTTTTGTTTTTTTTTTTTTATCACAGTGTCCCTAGCATTTCTTTGTGTACTTTAAACACATGGCAAGAGTTGGTATTGATCACTTGTTGAGAATACAGACATCAGAGTCCAATGTCCTGGGTTCTAATTCTAGCTCTGTTACTTCTCAGAAGCATAACCTTGCACAAGTTGCTTCATTTATCTGAGCATCCGTTTCCTCATCCTTAAGAATATTCTCAGTACCTATTCAGAAGTTTGTTATAGAAATCAGACAATAATGTAATGGCCTTAAAAAGCTTTTGCTAAGTAAAATTTCCTTCTGAAATTGAAGAAATTAAAAACATCATGTCTTAAAGTTAATCTCATACAGACCTGAGATTGATTATTCAATAAGTTTATATAGCACATGGTCACATAAGCACTTACAAATAATGGGTCCAATGAATTACTTTTAAAAGCAAGTTGGTATGGCTGGTATTTCCAACAGAAAAAAAAATAGACAATTTCATCTTTTCAACAAAGGTCTTATTATTTATTGGTTATATGGAAGCTTTTAAGTTCATTAGTATCAAGCTAGATCTTTTTTTATAAAGGAAAAGAAAAAAGTTGTCATCTAGTTGCAACACTTATAGTATCAGAAATAATTGTGCTTTACAGCAAAATGGCAGCACCAGAAGAAAGAGGTGCAGAAATATCAACTTTAATTAAACCCCTTCTTTCCAATACACTTCGCAGTTTATATGCGAGAATAATTTATCACCATGTGGATGAACACTTAATACTTGGCATGGTGTAAAATGGGCAGGGATCTTGCTGCACCATATGTTCTTCCCTTTCTGTTTCTTTTTGAGACTCTGTGGTGGCAATGTCAAGTTTGAACTTGAAGTATGTGATTCGAGTCATACTTCATCCTTCAATGAGTGGCCTGCTTTGAAGAGCTCACTCACTGGAAATTACCTCAAATAAGATAGGATCCCAGCACTAAGGTGCATTGTGGGCTAAGAGGCACCAAGACGGAGACACCATCTTATTGCTTCCCCTTTCACTAGGTTAGGTCAGACCAAGTGGGAGAAAGGGAGCAAGAGGGGCCAGAGTTTTCAAGCAAAGGAGGTGAGATGATGTAAGATCACATGACCACCGGTGGCATTGTCAACAATTCACCAAGGAGATGGAGGGGGCGAAGTGTCTAGAACCACGTGTCCCTATGACTCAACTGTAACTGGTAATGTGAGAGTGTCCCCTGAAACTGGGTCTCAGCCAGGTGTATGGAGCACGTAGAAGAAATACCCCAAAAGCTCTCAGCAGAACTCCAACCATGACTATGAAACTGGAAGCCACTTGGAGAATATGGCATCCAATGGTTTCTAGAGAGAATGAGGCAGAGCCACCACAAGGGGAGCTGATGAGGTCTCCTGCAAAGCTAGTGGCAGATTCTGGGCCTTACCTCCAGCTTCCAGACATAAGCCAGGGATCTTCCTGTTGCTTTGCATTGCCTCATTTTAGGGTCTAATCCCTCTTGGGTCCCTCTATATGCTCTTTCCACACAGTTTGGCTTGCAAGGAATAGCCTTTATTAGGCAATGCCTGCGTCTGAGGGTGAAACTGTTAAATGGATGACACTGCCTTTTTAATCTCTCTCTTCCACACATCCCAAAGTGTCTGTCTAAAATAAATATTAAAGTTGCTGTACCTAAAAAAGAGGCTAACCTAATAAGTCACAGAGTGGTATTGGGGCAGCAATGGATGCCTGAAATTAACAGCCCTTTTGGGCCTCCCCAGATACTAGGTTGCTATATAGAAAGGAAGCAGAAAGGCTCAAATAGATGAAGTGAAAGGCCATCGGAAGGAAAGGGGTTCTGCACCATCAAGTTAGAGTTTCACCCATTCCCTTATTTTCTAGACAACTAAAGCCAGTAGGCTGTGTTATGTCCATGCGGCTCATTCCTCAACTCCTTAGACAAAGCACCTCTCCACCCTCTTCAGGGCATCTTCATCAGCAAGTTAAGTGCACCTCCTTCTTCTTCTGAGTGTGACACACAGTCTAAGAAGAGAGGAAGAGACCCTGTATGTGCCAAGTTCCCACTCTGTGTCCAGCCCTGTGTGTGCGCAGAAATTCCTGTCATGTCTACTTTCATATGCCAGCTTGGAGGCTCAGAGTGCCCAGTTGGCATGCCTAACGTTACCTAGATTGTAAGATATATAAATGGTATTCCAATCTAGCTGGTCTGATCACCAGATCTAGCTTTATGCCACTATGCCAAGACTCATACTCCCTCCTTCCTGTTCCCCTCATCCCCAACCACTCCATCTAAACTAGATAATAAATAATTAGGTTTCTAGCCATACAACACTTGGTAATATCACCAATTTCATTTAAACCTGCCAGTACTCAAGTATCATCCTCCATATCTGTCATCCTCTATGTCTAACAATTTTCTGAGAGCCCATCACATTGGTGGCGGGGCTGAGGGAGGGGGTTGTCTGGTTCCAGGAATGAGAAGTCTGATTGGGACTCCAGGGAGAGAGGCTGGTTGTCCAGAAGAAAATGTGGGGTGCTAAGAGAGGGAAATAGCAACAGAAGTTCCTTAGGGGAGGATTAAGTCTCCAGCACCTGAAAGACAGTCCAGTTGGAAGCCCAGGGACCTGAGGCAGAGGTTAAGGACCAGAGAGGGTCATTACTCACTTAATCAGCCTTGCAGGGAGTGTGAGTCTCATCCCCGTTGCATAAGCGAGTAAGCTGAACTCCAAGAAGTCAGCTTATCCCAGACCCATAACCAGTAAGTGGTCAAACGGACACTCAGACCTGGGCAGCTGGATTCCACAGCTCACATGTTTTCTCCTCATGTAGACATGGAGGGGTTGGGGTGTGTGTGTGTGTGTGTGTGTGTGTGTGTATCTCACCCACACGTGAGAAGCTATGATAGAGGAAGGACTATCTCTTACTCATGTCTGCCTCCTCAGTACCAAGAGTGAAGGACTCACATGGTCCAGCCTAGGTGAACGATGAGGGATGGGGTTGAGCTGAAGTGGAGGGGAAGCCTGCCGCTAACCCGATCTTCCTCTCTGCCTGCAGACGCCGCCTGGGGAAGCGGGAAGCCCTGACGTGATGTGCTCAGTGAGCGGAGACATTCCCCTCCTGGAGAGATCCGTGTGACGCATCCGGGAGGCCGCCATCGGCCAGGCACCACACGGTCAGGGGAAAGGGTGACAGCCACATTCTCCTGTGCCTACCACGGAACCAAAAATGAAGGAGAACTACTGTTTACAAGCCGCCCTGGTGTGCCTGGGCATGCTGTGCCACAGCCAGGCCTTCAGCACCGAGCGGAGGGGCCACCTGCGGCCCTCATTCCACGGGCATCACGAGAAGGGCAAGGAGGGCCAGGTGCTGCAGCGCTCCAAGAGAGGCTGGGTCTGGAACCAGTTCTTCGTGATCGAGGAGTACACCGGGCCGGACCCCGTGCTCGTGGGCAGGGTAAGGCTGTGCCGGAGTGGTTTCTCTCCCTCCACCCAACAGGAGGGTATGGCCCAGAAAACCTAGGAGGGGAGACACCATTGGTGTGACCGCCCACTCAGAACCTAAAGCCATCCTTCCAGTCTTTTTTTTATTTAATTCTTAGATGTATCCATGTTGAGAACACTTCTGTTTTCCACTTGACATTATAGCATAAAGGCTATGTTTTTCTTTCTTTGTCTTTTAAAATATATATATTTTATTGATTTTTTACAGAGAGGAAGGGAGACAGGAGAGAGATAGTTAGAAACATTGATGAGAGAGAAATATCGATCAGCTGCCTCCTGCACGCCCCTCACTGGGGATGTACCCACAACCAAGGTACATGCACTTGACCAGAATCAAACTCGGGACCATCCAGTCCTCAGGCTGATGCTCTATCCACTGAGTCAAACTGGTTTTGTCTTTTTAAAAAATATATTTTTTATTGATTTCAAAGAGGAAGACAGGAGAGAGAGACAGAAACATCAATGATTGGAGAGAATCATTGATAATTGATCGGCTGCCTCCTGCATGCTGCACACCCCCTATGGGGATAGAGCTGGCAAACCTGGGCATGTGCCTTGACCAACCAGAAATCAAACTGTGACCTCCAGGTTCATAGGTCAAAGCTCAAACACTTAACCACACCAGCCGGGCAAGGCTATGTTTTTCCATTGACTGCACAATAGTCTAGTGAATAGAAATGGTCATTATATACTTAGCCCTTCTCCAACTGGAAGCATTTTCCTGACCACACCTAACCCTGACTTGGATACCCTTCCTTGTTATCCTAACCCTCTTTATCCCTTTTAGCATTGCTTTCCTTTCTGTAATACACATGCCTGTTTAATTGTCCATCTCTCTCCTTGGGAGCCTGTACGAAGTGTTTAGAACCTCTGCCATTGGGCTTTCCCAGTGGGAGTAACTATGTGTTGGGGGAAAGGCTGCAGAAGAGACAGGACCTAGAAGGGCATTTCAGCATCTCTGGCACAAGCCATGCCCACTAAGAGGAAGCATAGGGGAAAGGTGGGGAACGCGAAGTAGTGAGCGATGTTTAAAATCTAGGGACACAAGAATGCATCTGGTGGGATGGCAGAAAGAATAAAGTTCAAGCGGTTGGGTCCTGTGCATCTTTCTTTGGAGATACTGCTGATCTGCAGTTTCCAATGAAACGGGGAAGTAGGCTAGATAACTGGTTCCCTGATAATCTCTTATTGGAAGACTTTCAAGTGGTTTAAGATGCTCTGAGAACGTGGAATTTGGCAAACGGAAGGCTTGTGGGTTTCTTGAGGAAGCTCAGTCTATGTCCCGCCCTGCTGTGCAGAGCAGAGCCGTTGGACCGCAGAGTCAGGAGTTGGCTGTGTCTGCCTCAGCTATGGGATCCCTCCACAGCACTGGATGGTTTCCCACAATGCTTTTCATGTTGAACCTAATAAATACTGTTGTCAGTTGTATGGATTGTCTTTGTTGGTGAGAAAGAAAGGAATTTATGTGTGACTTTGAAATCCAAAAGCAAGAAAAAGTTATGAGCAGTGCATTTTAAACCCTTTCAGTGTTTTAGTTGGTCATCAAATGATGTCTAGTTAATTCCCAAGAGTCTTGCCAAATCATATGCACCTACAGGGATCCCCTGAGCTGAAATATTTGGTGTTTCACTGAGGCACTGCAAAATCAATGAGATATTTTTGGAAAAATTGAATTGATACAAAAATTTTTATAACGCACTGTGTTTAGTCTTCTTTTGTGACTCTGGACAAACTCTCAAAGCCTTGGTTTCCTAAGAGTGATAATTAAAATGACATTCATAATAATAAACATTATAATAATTTATTATCTATAATAATAAAAGCATAATATGCTAATTAGACCAGATAGCCGGATGATCTTCCAGACAAAACCAGGGCTGTGAGAGCCAAGGCAGCTGTGAGGCAGCCACATGGCTGTGAGGGCCGAGCCCCTTGCAAGAATTTTGTGTATAGGGCCGGCCTCTAGTCCTATCTAATAAAGAGGAACTATGTTAATTGTCCCTCATGCCATCCCAAAGATGGTGGAATCCACAGCCGAGGCTTGCACTACCAGCAGTGGCAGCAGCAGAGGTATGATCGGGCATCACCTTCCCCTGATTGCTGGGTTGCCTCCAGCTCCTGAGGGCTCCCAGACTGTGAGAAGGGGCAGGCCAGGCTAAGGGACCCCACGTCCCAATTTTCATGCACTGAGCCTCTAGTTATATAATAATAAATAAAAGCTTTTTATTTTTCAGGCTTTTTTCATGTAGTCCTTATAATGGAGGCTTTTGGTTTTTATTATCCTGTCAGTTACTCTTACAACCTATGAGAATGATGCTTATCTCTTTCCACTGAAGACAGAATGAGGGCAGATTTAGATGAAAGCTTCAGAAATTGAGGTTGGACAACAAGGGAGGGTGAGTTTATTACAGGAAGATCAGCTGTGGAGCTTGGGGGAGAGAAGGCAGGAAGGCACAGGATGGGGAGTTAGGAGACCTAGGTGACTTCCTGACCCTGCCAGGTGTGGACTTAGGCAGGTACCACAATTCCCCTGGGCTTTGTCAAAGGAGGCGGAAACCTACAGACATTTAAGATTCTTCCCATGGCCTGAGAAACTGCATGTGTCTCAGTTATCAGCCATCCCTATTTCCCCATTTCCCATCTGCCAGCCCCATTTCCTCATTCACCATGTCCCACTCAGCAGGTCTTCTGGAAAAAGTCTAATCTATGAATTGTTTGTAGCAACAAAATCCTGGAAGTAGTTTTCATGTCTTTTGGGAGAAAACTGCTAAAAGAAATGATGATGGCATCCACCCAGTAGATGAAGGTCAATCTGTATGTCCCCAGGTAGAAGGGTCACCCAAGTTTATTCTTCAAGGACAACCGAAGGGAAGAGGGACCTGTGCCCTGTGGCACTTCGTTGCATAAAAATAAACAGGGCATTTGCATATCTATATAATTATTCTTGCATATGACAGAATGTGTCACAGGAGACTCATGGGAAACTGGTAACAACAATTGTGTCTGAGTTGGGAAAATGAAGGAAAAGGAATCAGAACTGAGGGAAAAGTTAGTGATTGCATAAGTGTTTGTTTTTTATTATTTGTAAGATGCAAATATTTCTTTCAAAATAACTGCATATGAATGATATGTATGTGTATATATTTTGTATGTTACATACACACGGGGAGGAAGGAGAGAGAGCATGATTCTTAGAATTAAAAAAATTCACTGCTCCCAGCTGTGTGACCTTGGCCAAGACATTTATCTTCTCTAATATTCCATTTTCTCATTTGTAAAATGGGGCTGAGATGTCTCCCCTCGTGTGTGTGTGTGTGTGTGTGGTGTACATGGCATGTTGCAGCAAACAGCATGGAAGTGGGCCTCTGTCTCCCCGTACAGCCTTCCTGGAATTACAAATCTCCATTTCTCTTTTTCTAGCTTCATTCCGATATTGACTCTGGTGATGGGAACATTAAATACATTCTCTCAGGTGAAGGGGCCGGCACCATTTTTGTGATTGATGACAAATCAGGGAACATTCACGCTACCAAGACATTGGACCGCGAGGAGAGAGCCCAGTACACACTGATGGCTCAGGCCGTGGACAGGGATACCAACAGGCCGCTGGAGCCACCGTCCGAGTTCATTGTCAAGGTCCAGGACATTAATGACAACCCTCCCGAGTTCCTGCATGAGACCTATCACGCCAATGTGCCCGAGAGGTCCAATGTGGGTGCGTACAGCAGGGGAGACCCGGTCTGCCTGCGAGAGTGGTCTCTGGGGTTGGGGGCGGGAGGGAAGAGGGGAGAAAGGCACCTTTCTCCCAGATCAGGAAGGAGAATTTAGGCTGTATTTTCCATGATGGAATAACAAGTGAAATTTTATCTGTGTAGTCTTAGACAGTTAAAATGGACCTGAGGGTTTAACATCTAAACTTAGAAACCATGAGGGAGCGTGAAGTGGGAAGGATATGGTTGAATCCAGGTCCTCTCCACTCTGGCATTCTTAGCTGAGTGACTTGGAATTAGTTATGTCTGTTCTCTGAGCCTTAGTTTCCACCTCTATAAAATGGGAATAACAATTATTAGTTGTGCAGGATTAGAGGTACTCTGTATTCAGTCACTAGTACATGTTTGGTTAGGAAAACTAGTGGTAATATTTGTAACTTGTAGGCATTGTGATAATGATGTATATACACTATTTCATTTAATTTTTGCAACAATTCACCTTTGCAATGAAGTGTTTCCTACTTGACGTAATTTTGCATATGGGAAACCCAAGCTTGAAATAGGTGAACTAATTTACCCAAGGTCACCTGGCCCTTGAAGTGGATCCAGAACACACCCTTAAGCATGGCACTATGTCACCATCTAGTAGAATAATCCAGAAGTGGGCATGTCTTTTCATCGTGTATCAAGACAGGTTGCATGATTCCCAGCTAGCCACATTCCCCTGGCCATGACTTGCACTTGACGTAGAATGCAAGCAGTCGTGGTCTTTTTAGAAACATGTCTGTCCCCTGTTAAGAAAGGTTTGCCTTTCAGAGAGTGGGCAGGGCTGTTCTAGTCAGGGAGTGAGCCTGGTTATAAGGATCAGAGGTTGAGAGCTCAAATGAACTGAAGGGTCATCAGGGCCAAGCCACCCTTTTACAGGTGAGAAAAACAAAGCAGCAGGGATGGGCATCAGCCTGCTTGAGAAATTTAGATGCAGTAGTGACCCTGGGACCCTAAGCTCCTTGCACTTTGCATGTGGAGCTTGTGATGTTAAAAGTAGTCGTCCCTTACTCCTCCAGGAAAAGTCACTCCTCTCGTATACTTTACGGAAGCCGGGCTGAGCCATTCCTCGCCACCTTCTCTCCCCGTGGCCCTGCCCAGGCTCCTTGTCCCTCAGTAGTCACCTGGGGACTTACTGAGAAACAGTAGGCATCAAATAAGCCATTTCAGAGAAGACAGTAGTGTCAGCAGCTGAGTCAGTGGGGCAAAGGCCAGTCACCAAAAAGGATTCTCCAGGGGAATTTTCACTGTTTCCACCTTTTGGGGGCTCCTCGATTCTCAGGAATAATATACAGACTTTCCACCGTGGCCTGAGAGTAGACTGTGGCACAGCCCTGGGTTCCTGTCACACCGCATCTCTGACCAACTAGGCCAGTGGTCGGCAAACGCATTAGTCAACAGAGCCAAACATCCAGAGTAAGACGATTGAAATTTCTTTTGAGAGCCACATTTTTTAAACTTAAACATCTCCTAATGCCATTTCTTCAGCATAGACTCGCCAAGGCCGTGGCATTTAGTGGAAGAGCCACACTCAAGGGGCCAAAGAGCCGCAAGTGGCTCGCGAGCCACAATTTGCTGACCACAGACCTAGGGGAACCCGGACAAGTTCTTACATCTTTCTTGGTTTTCCTTTTGTCATTTATAAAATGAGAATAATGTAAAGAATGGGGAGGGGGAACTAACACGGATGTAGAATGCGAAGAGTGGAACTTAGTGGAGCCTTGGATGCAAATGCAGCATCACAAAATGCATCGTTTTCCTAGCTGTTTCATGGCAGAAAATACATCCTATTTGCCCTGATACAGCTCCTCCGCCTAGAACAGAGTCTGGTTATGTGGAAAGAGCTCCAGAAAGTTGTTTGCAGGAAATCAGGCATCCCAGAAGCATCGTTAGGAGAACGTGAGAGTTACTGTTACACCAGGCGGAAATCACGGCCACAGTGGGCCTTAGAGGTTGTCAGAGGCTGCGCAGACGGCTCCCTGGCCTCCCACGGGGACCCGGCCCGGCTGCTGCAAATGTCACGGCAGCAACTCGATTTTGCTTGTTTGCTGGATGGGGGAAGACTCCCCACTCCAATCATCTCCCAGTTTTCAAAATAGATTGTAAAACTTCCTTCCTCTCCTACCCGGTAGCTCACAAGTCCAGTGGATGCAAATGAAGAATGAAAAAAGGGGCAGGGGCAGGGGCAGGGTACCTGGATGTGCCCCAAACAGTGCCTGGCGCAGAGGAATATGAAAATTGTCTCTCTACCACCATTCCCAAGCCCAACACCTCATGCCCTCAGATCCTGTGACCATCAGGGAGGACGTTTTTCTAGGAAACGCTCTCTCATCTCCCTGCAGCTCCCTGGTTTGCTCTCACTCTGACCCACACACGCTCACCCTGTCTCTCAGCTGATGCCAGCTGGTGCTTTCTGTGGCCTGGCCGCCACACCCCTCAGAGGCGCCACGATGATGCAACTGTCAGGCCCGTAGGGAATGGCCTTCTGTGTGATATTTATAGCCACAAATTAATTAAAACGTAGTAGGAGCAGCCGCTTTCTTACATGCGGAGCAACAATAAGAGGATGTGTTGATTGCTCTGTGCAGATGGAAGGGGCCTGCATCCTGTCCTTTCGTGGAAAGCCAGTCATCCTTAATTACCCCTTCTTATGCTCTTTGGGGAGGTTTTTATTTAATTATCCAATCGATTGAATATCTCAACTGCCATGGGTCTTTAGAATGTTTTTGCAATAATATTCAGAATAGCATTTTAACTACCAAGCATAGCAGGGCGAACTATGAATATAGAAAGTTCATTTTTAAGGTGTGGGAATGAAGAGGAAAAGAAGGGAGGAAGAAGGGATGGGAGGAAGGAACGGTAGGAGAGGAAAGGAGATGGAGGTAGGGAAGGAAAGAGGAAGGAAGGAAGGAAGGAAGGAAGGAAGGAAGGAAGGAAGGAAGGAAGGAAGGAAGGAAGGGAAGCTACTTTGCAATTCAACTCCAGGAAATGAAAGCATATTAAATTATCTCCTCCGTTTTTTATTTTAAGATGAAACTGTGTAAACTAGAATAGGATTTGAAAAGCCAAGGGACCGCAGCTAATGACTCCATTTCACTCCTAAGGCACGTCAGTGATCCAGGTGACGGCCTCTGATGCGGATGACCCCACCTACGGGAACAGCGCCAAGCTGGTGTACAGCATCCTGGAAGGACAGCCCTACTTCTCAGTGGAGGCTCAGACAGGTACCCTGACATGACCCTGTGGCTGGTGACACCTTGTGGATAAGGAGCCCAGGCCTGCTCCCTCAACCTAGTTGACCCTCTGCTTTCTCAGACACTCCCGGGGTTTGTGCGAGTGTCCAACACTGTGCAGGTGCCTGGCATCCAAGGAGCCATATAGACTGTTGTTTCTGTCTGTATTCCACCATGTCCTAACAATAAATAGAATCTTAAAACACCACTTGTATCTTAAGATTGTATCTTAGAAGTCAACTCAAATTGAAGATAGTTTATCTTAAAATATTTGAGTTTGATCTTAAAATTCAACAGTGGATCCAAGTGAAGAGGCCACACATGCTGATACAAAGACCGGTGGCTCCCAGAGGCACGCAGGGGTGTTAATGCCAAGTGCGTTTGGGAGGCGGCACATTCGGGTCTCCATTGGGCTGATAGACACCCTGTGGGCCTGAGCATCAGCAAGACGCTCCCACACATTTCTTACAGAAAACTAATAGCACATCCCAAGAGTGAATGCTTGTAGCAACCCAAATTGAAGTGTTTCACTTTGTTTAAGTGTGACTAAGTGTGACTTGAGAATACTCTCTTAGACTACACACCAAAACCCTGTGAAACTGCCCGTCCACAATATTACACCCTATGGTCCCTTACTTCTCTCCACAATAGGCCCCATATATTTGGAAGATGTTTACGAACAATTCACACTTATTGCTAAACATTTCTCAAATATATCTATGTGTGCACATAGTCCACCCATCAGATACTTTGCTCATTTTCTTGATATTATTTCCTTCTCCCTATGCCATCGTTTATTTGTAGCCACTGCGCTTCAGATCACAACATGCGGGGCTAATAGCTTTGGCTTCATTAGAAACCAAAGCACTTGCATGTAGCCTTTCCAGCTCACCAAGGATGAATGTGGGATTTCATCTCGACTTTCGAGATGCTCAACACGGGTGGGGGACTTGCAACCTTCTTAGGTTCAGGGTCTCCTAGTTTGAACCTAACACATTATTTACAGATCAGGAGAATGAGGCCCCAGGAGATCAAGGGTGTTTCCAGAAACATGCAAACATGGGAGTAAAATCTAAGGCGTCCACAGTGCTCTTCATGTTTCCATTGGAAAGGTTGGCATTTGTACAGAGGGGAAAAGCTCACACATGTGTCCAAGAGATTTAACTGAGCTTGATCTTTATATAAACCGTGTGCTAATATCTAGGGGTCTTTTAAATTATATCATTAATTCATCACTATTGTAAATTAAAGGTAATCATAGAGTAAATGTTTGTATAAGCATTGTATATATTTTTAATCCATATGGTTCACTCTTTTCAATTTTCATATTAACATTTTAAGGAATTGCATGAAATATATGCTTTCTTCTTTTAACCTTTTATGGACCAGACATAGAAATGTTTTCGAGAATTGCATGCAGAGATAGACTTCAAAATATTGTATTGGTAGTCCAGAAATTGGTTTCAGTCACGGATACTCTCAAATATTTCAGTTATTATATACCTGAGTCTATGAGGCTGTAACTTGCATTTGAAATGCAATATATAAAACATATAATTTCAATGCTGTATTAGTGATGATGGCAGTTTACTGGAAATACATCTCTGGTGCTCCAGGCATGGCTGCTTTGGGTTATACCCTGTTTCCCCGAAAATAAGACAGTGTCTTATATTAATTTTTTCTCCCCAAGTTGTGCTAGGTCTTATTTTCAGGGGATGTCTTATCTTTCCATGCGCTAGGTCTTATTTTGAGAGGAGGTCTTATTTTCGGGGAAACACGGTAGTTATGTTGAAGTAACTTTTCTGTGAGGATAGGTTCTGTTTCACTCACCTTTGCATGCCTGGGACCTAGTCATTTTTGGTTATAATGTTGTTATAAGTCAGGCCTGTGGGCTTTTTAAGGCCCCTGAAATCATTTGGTCTGGCCCTGCCAAGGCATTAAGCGTGAGTTAATTAAATGTTTGACCAAATATATAATAGGCTAATTTTTAAGTTGATCATTCTGTATAGCCTGAGAATGATGTTATAAATATACAAATGGCCCTGGGCAGAAGAAAGATTCCCCACCCCTCTTATAAGTGAACGCCTGTGATGTTTTCTGCTCCTCTGTCCAGGTATCATCAGAACAGCCCTTCCCAACATGGACAGGGAAGCCAAGGAGGAGTACCACGTGGTGATCCAGGCCAAGGACATGGGCGGACACATGGGTGGACTCTCAGGGACAACCAAAGTGACGATCACACTGACCGATGTCAACGATAACCCACCAAAGTTCCCGCAGAGTAAGTAGGTGGGCGTGGCTTTCGCCTTTCAATGGGGCTGCAGCCCGCCATCCTCCCTCACCCAGTCCTGCTTTACTCAGCTTGGAAGAAAAAGTCTAGAGAAATGGACGTGTTTTACATCATCCTTGCCAAAAACTAAAACAAAATAGCTGCAGCCATAACAACAACAACAAGAACAATGGAATAGAGCTAGCAGGAGAAACAGGAGATGTAAAAAGTCCCAGGATCCTGGAAACAGGAAATTGATTGTGCTAGGTATCTCACCAGACGCTAGCGATGCCATCTAGTGATGAATGAGCCTGTCTCTGACTCAGTGTCCTCCGACCTCCTTTCCAATCTGGGAACAGCAGTGCCTGAATTAGTTACTGACTGCCATATAACAGACTGCCCGGAACCTTTGTGGTTTAAAACAATATTAGTGGTTCTTTTTTTTTTGTCATTAGTCCGCAATTTGAGCAAAATGTGGAGGAGACTGCTTGTTTCTATAGTGCCAACTGGGGACAGTTCAATGGGACTAGGGGGTGCAATTCCAATAGGGCTCATCCATATGCTGGTGAGGTGGTGCTGGCTATTGGTTCCTCTCCACGGAGTGGCATGGATAGGGTCTGAAAGGGGAGCTCCCAGGGACATCAAGCAGAACTGACCTGCCTGTGTAGCCTACCTTCAGAAAGCCCTCCATTCCCACTGCAGTCTTAAGACTGCCCACATGTAAGTAGGGTCCTTGTAGACTCCACCTTTCAACAGATGGCGAAGTCAGGTTAAAGGAAAAGCATGGTGGACAGAAGATATCGTTTTGGCCATTTTGGGAAAATACAGATTCCACAGGACCTAAATCATAGGACGTTGTAGAACTAAATGAGCTAGTGTAAAATCTTACAGTGACATCTGTCATAAGTCGTCAACCAATGTTAGCCTTGATTATTATCTGAGGGTCTATGGTCCACCCTTCTACAAAATGTATAAGATTGCTGAGGGACATGAAAGAAAAACTGATTTTGAAAGGTTGTTATTAATAACCATAACTACAACTACCATCACTTAGTGAATAGTCATTATTGTTGCAATCTCTCTAAGAGCCTACATTTTACAGGTAAAACTGGGTTTTGGAAAGGCTCAGTAAATTGCCCAAAGAAAGTGGCAAAGCAGCATTTGAACACAAGTCTGTTTCCATATGTCTAGATATAGACAGGTTCAGCGCAATCACAATGCTGCTGCTGCTAGTACACATTCAAGGTAAGTGTGTCTTCTTCATCAGGTTAGGAGAGTAGCTGGTAGGTAGGGCCTATGAGTTGATCGCTAGAGAGGTGACATTCCAAATGAGGGAAGAAGGAAGACAACCAAATATGGCCCCATGAAGGAACCATGGTCACTCAAAGGACTCCAAAGACAATCTAGGTCAGAGAGACACTAGATAGAGAATTATAAGCAATACCCTTTGTCCTGAAGACACTGAGAAAGATTGCTTTGCCTGATCAGGCATGAAGTTCAGCATCCCAATAAGCGTAAGGCTCATATAGCTCTCTATCAGCCGCACACTCAGTTATCCACACCATAAAAGTATCTGGTTTCTCGAAGGAAAAGGCCAATCAGGATTATTAGCAGGCAGCCATTCAGGCCCTGGCCCTCTTACCATCATGTAGACATGAATGCAAATGAGATTTTGGAGAAAATCAACTCCTAGCAGGTTTCTCAACCTTCATGTAAATTGGTAAATTATCTACGGACTCCAATCTCTGTTCTGTACTCAGTATGTTCCCACCTCAGGGTCTTTGCCATTTGCTGTTCCCTGTGTGTGCCATTTGTAGCCCCAGATAGTCACATGGTTTGTCTTTCTCAGGTCCTCCAGGGGTGTTCAGGTGCCTTCTTTAAGGGATGCCTTCCCTGCCCCCTTCCATTCAAAATCTCTCTCTCCATCTTTCCCCTTCACCACACATACTTAATGCAAGTGCACACAGTGTCACACACAGACACACATCTAATGCATACATATACACACACTCATGCACACACATACACACATATTCATAACCTGCTTTCACATAGTTACATACAGTCCACACCTCACTGTCCCATTACGTTCCTCCCCATAATCTACCATGTGTCCCTTCTTCCCAGCACTGACATCAGCGTGTGTACTCATTTCGTGTTTCCCTGTAGGGGTAGTTGGCTCTTTAAGGGAGCAATCTCGATGATTTCATTGACTGCTGAGTATCCAGGGGCTGGGACAGTGACTGGCACATAGTAAGTTACCAATAAATAATAAATAAATATATATGGCAGGGTCACGCTGTGGGACATGTTTGCAGATAAGCTAGTGTTTGAACAAATGGTGAAGGGAGTGAAGTAAGAGGAAAGTCAGATACTGAGTTACAAAGGGTCATGACCTTGAATGGAATGAAAAGAAATCTTGGCTGATTGAATGCTTAAGGATGACATAGCCCTCCAGCACTTGCTGATGGGAAATGGGACTGAACATTCCTCCTTTCCTCGTGTGGGGCAGGGGACCCCACTCCATCTCCTCAGACCCCGGGATTGTTTCATCATTCTTTGTAAAACACATTTCTTTGACACATGGGCCATGCGGGCTCTTCCATCCATTCCCTTCTTTTCATGTTTTCAATCAATAGGAAGTTCAATTTCAAAGGCTTTGAGAAATGTACTGGGGTTCAACGGAATCTAAAGTCCTCCAGCTAAGAAATGAAAGGGAAAATAAGAGGAGATGTCTTCTTCTTCTAGGCGTATACCAGATGTCTGTGTCAGAAGCAGCGGTCCCCGGGGAGGAAGTCGGGAGAGTGAAGGCCAAAGACCCCGACATTGGTGAAAACGGCTTGGTTGCATACACTATTGTTGATGGAGATGGCATGGAATTGTTTGAAATCACAACGGACTATGACACCCAGGAGGGCGTGGTGAAGCTGAAAAAGGTGAGTGAGGATGAGGAACCAGACATATCAGTGGTATGGCCTGCTCTGCCAAGGCAACGGGGAAAACATCGGGAGTTGAAGGTTTCAAAAAATGCAAACATGGGCATCTGGGGCTGACCTGCTTTTACAGCTGAGCTCTGAGCTCTGGGGAAATGGCAGGACTGTATTCCAGAGGGGGATGGGGTGGGAAGCAAGGGAGATTGGGACACCTGCCTGAGATCACAATTTAGCTCTGGGCAGAGTTTTGCCCTGGAAGGAAAGACAGCTAGACACATCTTCATTTGGGAAAGCAGCACTGAGCATGTGTGAAGTTCCCCTTGTGGCTTGGCCCAGCTGAGTCTGTTCATATGGGCTGCTCAGAGCTTGTCCTATCTCAAACACCCAGGTTCCATTGCACTGCTGTCATTTTGGTCTCAAAATTGAACCCAAAAGCCCAGTCAATGTGGCTCAGTGGTTGAGCATCTACCCATGAATCAGGAAGTCACGGTTCAATTCTTGGTTAGTGCATATGCCTGGGTTGCAGGCTCAATACACAGAAGGGGGCATGCAGGAGGCAACTGATCGATGGGAGTTTCTCTCTCATTGATATTTCTATTTTTTTATCCCTCTCTCTTCCTCTCTCTCTAAAAATTAATGAAAAACTTATTTTTTTTTTAAATTGAACCCAAGAAACAACAATGGTCCTTCCACCATGCTAAACTGTCCCTTGGGATTAATTCAAGACAATGGGGAGTTTATTGTTCTTTTCTTTGCTTTGTTTTTAAGATAAAACATTTTCTCAATACTCAGTATTGGCCAGAGAAACCTGAGCCTCTTCCAAACACTCCTTGTTTATCTTTCACAAAAACCATTGAAAAGGTAGATAATCTGATTCCTGTGGACAAGGAGACCTCCATTTAATTATAAGGAGACTGGGGCTCAGACAGACTACACAGCTTGACACTGTCCTAGTCACACAGCTAGGGATTCGAACCTAGAGTATTCTTGAACAAGTTCACTCTCAAGACATTTTAGCAACAGCTGGACCACAAGGGCTTATAAAGGAGAGCCAGCTAGGACTCACTTAAGTGAAGAAATGGTTACCGTCTATTCTCACATGGTCTCCCTCTCAATTTACCATTTGAGAAATCAACCCCTCTCTATCATCAAAGTGTGGGGAGCATTTAATGTGAATTGGATGACGGGGTTACCTTGGTTTTAATCAAGCATTCATTTTCAACCTGGTTTTCTAGCATGAATATTAAGCTTCTCAGGGTGATGGAAGAGATAGGACTGTAACACTGCTAAAAATATAATTTGAAGAATCAATAAAGAGGCTGGTAGTTAATGAGAAATGGAGGGTGGACTGAAAAAAAAGTGGAGCGGGCAGGAGAGATGTCCTCCAGGGGGCTGACGTGTCATAACATTTGAAGGCATTGTTGGGTTTGGGAGAAATATCATGGGTCACAAAACAAGAAGATGGAGGGAAGGGGACTCTGTTGTAAACGCATATGAAATCGGTGTGCGGGCTACTTGGAAACAGGGACATTACTGACAATGACTGGAGTGTCCTCAGGGCCTGGGGTAATCATTCCCACGGGCTTCTCCTCCAGAAGAACCTTCGTGTGAATTGTGTGTAGTATAGCGCTGTCAACTTAGCACGTTAATTAATACTACTATCCCTCTTGCTTGACACTGACATATGAGCATTGACATCAGCGATTTCTGCCTGGCGTACTCTGCTGTTCAAAGTAATTGGGTAGTTGGTTATGCGAAGGTTGTCACCTGTTTTCAGTGTGTTGAGGGCATAAACACACACTGTGTCTCCAAAATCCCGAAGCATTAAAATCGTCCCGTGGAACTTGCACATGGCAAATGAGCTCTCCGCACAAGATTAATTTGCACATTTTCCCCCGATGCAGCCTGTTTATTCCAAGCAAGAGGATAATAGTCTATAAAGCACTGCTGTGTAGGTTTAAAACAGAGAAAGATGTCTTTTCCTTCCTTAAACTTATAGCACAAAGTTCCAAATGTCCACTAGAAAAAAAAAATGAGGAAAAAAAAACCCACATAAATGAGTAACAGAGTAAAATTATGAGTCCTTGTGGAAGTCATATAAAAGGGTACTGAGAGATAATGGGGATATTTTTGTCTTTTAAAAATATTCTTTAATTATTTTTTTGGCTAATTTATTGATTTATCCATTTTTTTACCAAAAGTTATTGAGTTGTTATTTATCATGCAGGTCCTGTGAGGGAGGCTAGATGACTGAGGTTGAAGAGACAGAGTCCTGGCCACAGAGAGGTCACAATTTAACAGGACAGAGAAGTAAAATGACAATTACATCAGAGCACATTTTCTCATCCCCGGCCCTAACACCATTTCGGGACAGATCATTTTTCTTGCAGGGGCTGTTCTGGGCATTGTATGATGTTTAGCAGCATTCCTGGCCTCTCCTCACTGGATGCCAGTAAGCACACTCCACCAGTTAGGATAATAATGAATGGTTGTAGGCAGTGCCTGAGGAACCCTGAGGGAAGTTAGCACAAAAGCACTCCCCAGTTGAGAACCAACTGTAACAACGTGTGATCATATCTATGAATAGGGACATAACGACTTCTTACAGCGGCCAATCTTCAGTGGAGTCTCCGTGGATGAGTAGGAATTTACCAGATAAATAAGGAGAGGCAGGATAGAAAAAGAGCTCATGACGAACTCCTTGGAATCCGGTAGCGATGGAAACAGGACAGGTTTAGGAAACTTGAATAAGTTCAGTCTCCAGGGTTTAGAAATGGATGCAGAGAGAGCATTGCAAAACAGCCGTTGGAACTCAAGAAGGGAGAAATTGTAAAGAACAGGAGAAGGCAGAGGAAGGGAAGATAAAGAATCCAAGAGAGATCTAGGAGGTAGAGTCATTCATTTATTGAAGAGCTTAGGAAGCACAGCCTCCCATCCTGGTTACAGTGTGCAGAGGAGAGAGAACTGCCCTCTGTGTGGGGGCTAAAGAAGAACCAATGAAAGTCAAGGTGAGAGTTATCACTGGCTCGATACACTTCCAGGGCAAAATCCAATCTGTTCATGGCAACACCCTTGACTCAATGGGACTTCTATTTATCAAAGAGATACCCTGGCGCTGTTTCTGAGTTATTTACTTTCCACCAAATATATTCCAGGTAAAACAGTGCAAGAGCAGCATCAGAAAACATTTTAAATATTCCCTACTGTAATAAAGCCATTTTGATGTCTAAGTATTCCCTTAGATTCCTTGCCCACATGCATATTGATGTGGATATATAACATTTCACACATCTGCAATCATAGTGTCATCAGATTGGTTAACTTAGTGTCACATCGAAAACATTTTACATGTTGTTATATACCATGCATAATAATTTCTTTTTTTAAAATATATTTTATTGATTTTTTACAGAGAGGAAGGGAGAGAGATACAGAGCTAGAAACGTCGATGAGAGAGAAACATCGACCAGCTGCCTCTTGCACACCCCCTACCGGGGATGTGCCCGCAACCAATGTACATGCCCTTGATTGGAATCGAACCTGGGACCTTTCAGTCCGCAGACCGACGCTCTACCACTGAGCCAAACTGGTTTTGGCTGCATAATCATTTCTAATGACTACATGACATCCCATCCTACGGAAGGGCCATTGATAAAATTTCCTTGATAAAATCTCATGGTGGGATTTGGTGTTTTGTGGGTGATTAGACATAACCCTCTTCTCTAACAAATATTACACCTTCTTGAATATTGTTACATTCTCTTGAATTCATCCCCCAGGGAGAGTTTTCAGAGGCGGGATAGTAATTGAGGGAGTAGTAAGGTTTTTATGGCTCGTATATAGTGTTGCCTCATTTAGCTTAATTTCAACTACTCATAACATGGATACAAATGTATATGTAGGGAGTGACATTAAATCTCCTTTGGAAGGAGGCAGGGGGCATGTTTTAGGTAAATGTTGAAATGGTGCCCATCTGCCTGCTCCCCACTTAGTCAGAATGATGGTGCGTATGATCACTTGGCACAGTCATTCCTGGCCACCGGGGAGGTAAAGATGAGCAAAATCCATAAGATCCACTAGAGCCCTTTGGGCTGCTCCCCACCTTCCGGGGGTGTGAGGTGAGGGGCTGCAGAGGGCAGCTAATGGACCACCTTGATCTGTCTGGGGGTACCAAAGAGGACTTGCCAAAGCCATGAGGTGTGGACATACCACCCCAAAACTTAGTCAAACTTCACCAATGTAGAAAAGGGCATTCCAGACCAATGCGTGCAGAGATTTGGGCCATTTTGCTCGGTTTCCAAGAAGCATTAATCCAACTGCAGCATGATGGCACCAGCCTTAATGCCCACAGGGCTTGCCATTGGGACCATGCTCTGGGCAAGTGCCTGGACCTAAATCAGAAGGTTCGGCTCTAGGAGCACCCAGCTACCTGAGATGAGAAACATTCTACCTACCAGGTCTCAGAACTATCATCTTCCAATATATTTTTTAAATCAAAGAACTCAGAGTTTTGGAGAAACATTAGCAATCTCAGGCCTTCTGCCTAGAAATACCATTCTTTTCTGCAGCTTAGAAACCCAGCTAAGGATAAAGCTTCAGAATGGCCGAGCAGCTGGGGGCAGGTCTTGCTCAGGGAGAGGGGATGTCTCCGACTGGGGAGCAGGAGGGTGGGAAGATGATGGAAAGTGTCCAGGGTGTGGACTGTGTTTACGCTTCCTGGAGCTGGATCATCTTCCTCTGGAGGCTGTAGGATGACAACCCTATGGTTGCCGCCCATTCAAAGGAAGTGTCTGCTGGGCAGAGGCAACAGCGTGGCAGACAGCTGTTTGCCTGAAACGACCCACTTCTTTGCAAACATTTGGTAGCCGAGCGTCACCCACACTGCTAATTAGAAAGCCCTGTTTCCTAAGCAGGAGGGCTCCGTGCTCTGCTGCAGTTTTACTTTTCATCCTCTGCCCATCAATTCCCTGTCCCGCATCTCGTTCGGAATGAGGGTGTTTTCCATCCACTTCCCAGCAACTGCAGCCATTCCAATGCGATTCCCAATTATTTTTCATATCTTTGTAACATCTGTGTTATTTATAATTGTTTTTCTTCGAAAGGATATTCTTACATATATAAGAATATGTAAGCAAGCATTATTCTTACTTGCCTATGACTTGCTAAAAATACAAGCTATTTTAGAATTGAGCACAATCAAAACAAACTGTCATTCCTGCCTGACTAGCGAGTTACAGCATAGTCTCTGAAAAGGGAGATTAAGAAGCATGACGGATATGTTAAACATCAGCATCAAACTGGAGTATTCCTTTTTTGAAAATATATATATTTTTATTGATTACAGAGAGAAAAGAAGAGGGAGAGAGGGATAGAAACATCAATGATGAGAAAGAATCATTGCTTTGCTGCCTCCTGTATGCCCCCTACTGGGGATCAAACCCAAAACCCAGGCATGTACTCTGACTGGGAATCAACCCAAGATTTCTTGGTTTCTAGGTTGGTGCACAACCACTGACCCACACCAGCAGGGTCAGTGGGTATTTTATTGCTAGGATGATTCTCAGTACCTTACAGAACAGTCTATGCCATTTATTTCTGTAGTGTTTTCATTCCTTCTCATCATGGGTGACTTTTAGGGGCTTTGAGCAGCCTTAGTGTTGCTGTATAGAATGAGGTACATGTGTCTGTTGTGCTCCTAGAATTGCCCATTAAGCGCATTCCGAGGTTCAGCCATTGATTTGTCTGATTTTCTGACCAAATGGCTCAGGTAATTGGATATTGAATAGACACTGATTTCCTCACTTTGAGGAACTGCACACTCTGCCCTGTATCACAAGCAGGCCTCTCTCCTTCGTTATTCTTTCAAGGAATCCCTTGCCAATCTCTTCCTTCTCGTCAGCCCGTAGATTTTGAAACCAAGAGAGCGTACAGCTTGAAGGTAGAGGCAGCCAACGTGCACATTGACCCCAAATTCATCAGCAACGGGCCTTTCAAGGACACAGTGACGATCAAGATCGCCGTGGAAGATGCTGACGAGCCCCCCATGTTCTTGGCCCCAAGTTACATTCACGAAGTCCAAGAAAATGCAGCTGCTGGCACCGTGGTTGGGAGAGTGCATGCCAAAGACCCTGATGCTGCCAACAGCCCAATCAGGTACAGACGGATACAGCGTGAAAGCCTGGATGGGGGATTTTAGAGGCAAGAGGATTTAGCAAAAACCCTGCAGAGACTCCAAACCACATCCTTCAGTTACAAAAGGGTCCTAGAAGCTCAGGTCCAATGCCATGTAACAGAGATTAATATGGACGTCTGCTTTGCCCCTGCTGCTCGCTTTGTGCATGGGTTTGTGTGAGTGACATCATTTCCCTCTGGAACAGACTTTCCGGGGACGTAAGCCTCAGCTGGGCCTGTGTGCCCAGGGGATTTGAGGGGGAGTATAAATACTAATTATAAAATAGGTAGAGTAATTATAACTTATTGAACACCTTTCTATGCTCCAGTCAGTCCACTGCATATGCAGACATGTGGTCTGATGTACCCCTCCCCTGTCTGTCATAGGAATTGTTATCCTTACAGGGAGGGGGGAGGGGCTCTGTGCGGCAGAGTGACTTGCTCGGGAGGCATAGCCAGTGAACAGGAGGCCAGGCTAGCATGTTCTGTTTGTCTAGCTGCTGCTGAGAGGTAACGGAGTGACGGACAGGTTTAGGATGCTTGTGTGTTGTGCACATTGTTATTGGTTTGTTTTTTCTTTTTGTGACTGGGAAAAGCAAGATAGAGAATTGTGGTGTAGGATCCCGCCTCCCCCATCAGTGACACGAGTTTATGAGGGATGAGGCTGATGAGGAAGCAGTTGAGAAGGAGGCTGAGTCACAGATTGAAGATGGTTATAGGACAGAAACTCATAGTTGCCTGAAAACTGTCCTGGCCTGGATTCTAGGAAACGTTATTCTCTCTACGGCTATCCCCTGATTCCCTGCTTGCCTGGATTCCTCCTCCCCCTCCTCATGCTGTCCCCACCTCCAGTCTCCCCCAACCTTCCTCTCATCAATCCCAGAGCCAGAGCAATCAGTTTACAACATAGCCAACATCACCTCATACTCAGTCTAACAACAATAATATGATGGATGATCCCATTGTCCCCAATGCCCCGTCATCCCCCCCAAAATAATCTCAACTCTTTTATTTGGCACAAGGCTCTTCTGGAGCCCCTGCACCCAGTTCCTGCTGGGTCTGCTCATCTCTGCTCTCCCCATCTGTCTCACTCTCTCTTCCCACCCAGCTCTTGGCTGTTGTGAGATCTCTCTACTTCCTGTTCTCTGATGCAGAACTGCCATCTCCTAGTTCTGGACTTTCCCCATTCTTCCTCCTGGTTTTTTCTTCCCCTTTCTTTGCAACTTGCTTAGATGGTGTTGACTTCCCCCTCTGTACTTAGATGTCACCTATCACCTCACAGCGCAGGCCATGGTGTATCACAGTGATACCTCTCTATGGCATGTTGTCCATAGCATCCTTACGAAGGGCCATGATGTGTCTGTCAAGTTCAGGGTTGCTAAAGTCCACCTGCAGGACAATATCAGAGCTGTCATTTGCATTTTGAGGGACTTCTGTACTGTTTTCATAATGACTGTATCCTGAAGAGATAGCTACAACCCTGTGGTCACTGCAGTGTTCACAATAGGCAAGACATGAAAACCACCTAAGTGTTCACTGACCCATGAATGGATAAGCAAAATGTGGTACATATATACGATGGAATATTAAGCCTTAAAAAGGAAGTCCTGCCCTTTGTGATAATGTGGATAAGCTTGGAGAAAAGTATGCTAAGTGAAATAAGCCAGATACAGAAAGACAAATATAACATGATAAGTAGAATCTGATGGAAAAAAAAAAAAATCAAACAGGACAGTGGTGGTTAGGGGCTGGGGGACTGCAGATCTTAGTCATGGGGTACAACTTCTAGTTGTAAGATGAAGAACTTCTAGAGATCTATTTTAGATCATGTATACTTGAAATTTACTAAGAGAGTATATCTTAAATGTTCTTACCACACACACACACACAAATACACACACACACAATGGTAACTCTGTGAGGTGATGGATATGTTAATTAGCCTGATCATGGTAATCATTACATAAGGTATACTGTTATCAAAACGCCATGTTGTACACATTAAGTATATGCAAGTATTTATTTGTCAATCTTATCTCAGCAAAGCTAGAAAGAAAAGGTAAATGGATCCGAGCATGACAAAATATTGTCATGGATAGTGACATCTTTCTATTTACACCAAAGAAAATGCTGAGAGAGCAGAAGGGAGTTCCAAACATAAACACTGTCCATTGCCTTTTTTTTTCAATCATCACCCGAGGATATGTTCTTCTTGATTTCAGAGAGAGAGGTTAGAGAGAGAAAAAGAGAGAAACACTGATCGGAGATATCAACATCGATTGATTGTCTTCTAACCACAGATCAAACCTACAACCTTTTGGCACATGGGACAATGCTCCAACCAATTGAGCTACCCAGCCATGGCTCCACTGCCTTTCAATTCTTGAACCTTGTTCCTTTTGAGAAAGGAAGGGAATTTCCCTGTATTGAGCATCTTCTTGATCCTAACCTATTGCATTAAATTAAAGTTAATAAGCACCTTTTGAGGCATTTGCTGCTTTAGGATTCCAATGAGGGAAATACTGACACTCAGAAGGATGATGTGAATTCCTCAGAGTCTGTAGCTTAGTCCACATTTACCCTGAGTCCACTTTGAGCTTTTTACTCTAGCCAACCCACCACTAATGACAAGATTTCCCGACAAGGTTTGGGTACTGAGTTCTCCTTGTGCAGGAAGATACATTACATTATGACTGAGGGTCATTATAACAACTTTCAACTACTCAACACTGTTCATGGTGTGAATTACAAATAGCTTCACTTTGGTCAGGAATATTGAGGTGCATTAGCGACTTTTTAGAAGAGTGATGATGTAAAAACATGTGGAGCAACTGCTGATCCCCTCTGCACCTCACTGTCTCCCAGGTCCCACTTCAGCAGTTGGGTATTGGGGTCATGTTTTCAATGGTAGCTGTTTCATGTATGCAGGCAATTCCCATGTCTATAATTATCCAAAGATGCTCAGTGCACCAACCCCTTTGCACCAACCCACTTTACCCACTTGGGTCTCCTTTTATTCACTGGGTCTCCCATCCTTATCTCCATCTCTAAAGAAATGTGTGTCATATTCTTGGACATAGAGGTAAGGCCTTATTGTGTCACCCCAACTCTTAACCGCATAAACATTTCCCTTTTTCTCAGAGTCTGTGAAAAAGACTTTTAGACACACCTTTGTTTACAACTATCTTCCTGGAATATTCTGTCCTCTTAGCTTCCTTGGCAGGAATCTCTCCCTCCTGCGACAGCTCCACACCTGGTGTCTTCACTAGCCTCAGAACCCTGCCCAGGCGCTAAGTCAGATATTTTAAACATCTATTAAGTCATGCAGTCCTCAAAACCAATCCAAAGCTAGGTACTGTTCATGTTCCAGTTAAAAAGATAATAGGCTGAGATTCAAAGAGTTCAAGTGTCTTTTCCAATATCACTCAGCTTATATGCGCTGGAGCATGAACTTATACCTAGGATTTTACAAAACCAATTTGCTTGTATGGAATAATGCTTGGAATCCTTCCATTTCTTCCTACAAGTGTGCCTTGTCATGTTAACTAGACAGTAAATTTCCTGGTGTGAGACAAAACGTCTTCTATTATTTTTCCTCCTTTTCAGTAGGGCTCTCTGCTGAGGGCTCAGTGGCTGATCTTCTGTTGACATCTACGAGATGTGTGATGTCTACCGTTTCTTCGCTGGGGAAGGGCACTGATTGGTCCATTTCCACAGGGAGCTGTGCAGTCATGGGATACCAGAGATAAGCTCCTGTGGGTGCTGCCTGATGCACATGGTCCCTCTTTCCTGCAAGAACATGATCTGGGATCGGAAGATCCAGGTTCTAACAGTGACTCCCCCAGAAACTAGAAAATAGGCCATTGGCCAATCCCGTCATTTGTAAATTGAAGATAATACACCCTGCTACTTCTAATATGCCATTATATGGCCCTCAGTGAATGCCTCCAGGCATAGGTATTCTGTAAGCTTCAGGGAAACACAGCTAAGCCCTCCAAGGACAGGAAACTACCCCTTAGGAAGACCAGCATGCTACTTGAGTTGACATGCCCATCTTCTCCACTTGGAGTCAATGTGGGGGAGGGCAGGAAGGGCCTTTGGAGTTCAGCAGACTCTTGAAAGCCAGGGCTCTGATACAGATAGGCATGCCCTCAATGAGTCACTTTCCCTTTTACCTCAATAACTTCCCTTCCTCTTGCCCCATCTCCCACCTCACCCTGCCATAAATATACTCCATAATATTTTGAAAATTATCTGGTCTTTTGTTTGAAACAAAGTAAACTTTCTAGTGGACAGACGTACCTGAAATCCAGTAGCTGTGGTGTTCGGCACAGTCTGGGGTCACTAAAGTGTGGGCAGTGTGAATTCCCACATGAATGGCCAAGCCTGCTTTGCATACTTCATCCTGGAATTCAGAACCAAGCTACCTGAGGCCCCTAAAACTAAGCAAATAAGCTAAATAGGCCTGCTCAAAATGCAGCTCACATTGTTCTTTAAATAGGGAGGAAAAAGGATTGTTTTGGACCATAAATGATCCTTGCTGATAAATTTAGATAAGCGTAAAACTGTTTAATATCTCATGCAAAAATCTGGCAAAGGTTTGATACGTTTATGACTTTCTGAGTAATTTGGGAGCAAGGCAGACCGACTTCCCAAAATGCACTTTTATAAATATTCAGATGGTGGGTGATTGTAGTAAATCTGGAGAAATATGCAGCCTGGCATTAAACCGCTTCTCAATCAAATATGCTAAACGGCTCTTTCATTCATCGCCCTGGATAAAGAATTCTAATGCGGCAAAATGATTTCTATAAAAGATTCATGTGCAAAGTTTGAAAAGTAAATTTGATTAAAAAGAAAACACCTAGCTCAAGCAACTAATTGGGAAAGCTGCTTTAAAGATAGCATGGAGAAAATACTCAAATATTAAGCTGCTTGGAATGCCTCTCCTAATTGCCTCATTTGCATTCTGCTTAGGTATTCAATTGATCGGCATACTGACTTGGACAGGTTCTTCACTATCAATCCAGAGGATGGTTTTATTAAAACTACAAAACCTCTAGACAGGGAGGAAACCGCCTGGCTCAACATCTCTGTGTTTGCAGCAGAGATCCGTAAGTGTTTTCCTTAAGGCTTTGATTCTGCTTTATCGATTGTTATTCCTTCAGATTCCGCGTATTCTGGAAAGGGACACACAGCTGAGATAGAATAAACATGTTTTCCATCTTAATAATTTGCTTTTGGTTATCTGTCTAGGAAGTCATACAAGAAAAGACATAGGGGAGTTTTTGTTTTCTCTGGGTGCAGACTTGGCCAGTGGGCAGGTCACCCTGAGCAGCTTGACACTCGTGACCTTCATTGAAGGATTCATAGCTATATCCTGTCACTCAGTTTTGTTTAAACCCGGAGCAGCAGAATCATCAGAGCCAAGATTTGTGGCTTCTTGTTTACCTGTAGACCAGTGGTTCTCAAACGTGGTCATGTGTTAGAATATGATGGAGGGATTGTCATAACAAAGATTTCCCTCAGCGCCTCTGGTTCAGTAGGTCTGGGCTGGGGCCTGAGCATTTCTGTGCCCAAGGAATGTCCAGGTGGTTCTGCTGCTGCTCTGGGGAACCCCGGTTTGAGAACCACTGCTATGGACTACCCTAAGGGGTGGCAGGCTGTATTCTAAGCATTTAGAATATAAATAACCTCAGCATTAGAGTCAGAAGAGATTGAAAACTGGCTCTTCCAGAGTATCCCCCTCACTCTGGTCCCAGCATACTTTGGTTTCAGATGGTGTTTGTGCCAACAATGCCTGTCCCCGCACTGCCTGGAGGAGTGGCTGGCGCTTACTCGTTCCTGAGAGTAACCTAGGACCAACGTGCATTGCTGCCCAGCACTGACTGAATGCTCTCTTTCCAGACAACCGGCATCAGGAAGCCAAGGTCCCTGTGTCCATCAGGGTCCTGGACGTCAACGATAATGCTCCCAAGTTCGCTGCCCCCTACGAAGGCTTCATCTGTGAGAGTGACCAGACCAAGCCGCTTTCTAACCAGGTACCTTGGCTTTTCCCTTCCCCTGCCTAAGAGCAAGGCATTGGGAAACAAATTGATGATTTTTAAAAAAATATATATTTTTATTGATTTTCAGAAAGGAAGGAAAGGGAGAGAGATAGAAACACCAATGATGAGACAGAATCCTTCATAGGCTGTCTCCTGCACGCTCCACACTGGGAATCAAGCCCACCATCGAGCATGTGCCCTGGCCAGAAAACAAACCATGACCTCCTGGTTCATAGGTCCAAGCTCAATCACTGAGCCATACAGGCTGGGCCGAGTTTGGTGTTTGAGAGCATCACCTGGAGATACCTCTCACTACCCAAGAAAGCTTCAGAGCCTCAGTTCAGTCCTGGAACTGTGTTCTCTGATTGAAACCAAGCTTGTTAGCCAGCTGGGAATTTTTAAATAAATGATGTGACAATGTCAGCATGATTTAGTCATGGGCTACCTTTCTCTTTCAGCCAATTGTTACAATTAGTGCAGATGACAAGGATGACACAGCCAACGGACCAAGATTTATCTTCAGTCTGCCTCCTGAAATCATTCACAACCCAAACTTCACGGTCAGAGACAACAGAGGTTCGTACCAAGGTTCCTCTGCCTTCAGAGACACAGAAATGGGAAATAGGTGGCTTTTATGTTGCAGAGCGCAAGTATTTTCCCTAATCTCAATAATTAATGCCTTTCTGGTGAAGAGCAAAGGAGAAATCATAATGCCATCTTCATTGTGAGGCTTGGGCTCATGTGGTGCCTATGCGTGAGTGAGTCTGATGGCATTTTACTTTTTCTATTGGTGGCTTTGATGATCATGAAGTGGTGGCAGAACTAATCAGGGACACTTACAGAGTCAATAGCAAAGAACTTCATTTTTTTTTTTTTCCAGAGGTTGGTGAACCCTAGTGGGGGGGAATGTGGCTTTATGAATGTTGATATCAAGAGATATTAAAACAAATTAGGTCAAGGTTACCAGGCAGTGGAAATTATCAGCTGGCCTTCTCTTCCATGTATAGTTGGGATGCAGTGTGGTGGGTACAGAGCTGGGTTCCTGAACGTGGCTACGGGATGACCAATGGAATGGCATGGACAAGGCACCTTATGGCCCACGGGAAACTTGGGAAAAGCAAATGCTTCCTGCTTCCCAGGGCAAAGTCTTCAAATTGTTTGTGTTGTATAGACCCACATGGATGCAGTCCCTTGACAACGTTGGTGGCAGAAGCCAGGATCAAAAACTAAGTTTCCTGACTCCTGGCCAGACTACTTTGGTCTGCAGCTGTTCCAATAAACCTGTGACGCTGCAGGTCCGTAAAACAGGCTGACAAATGCCATCATCAGACATAGGAATAAAAGATGGTCCTGAGTGTATATGTTTTCATTAGCTATGTGCTAGCTGTGTGCTAGGCTATACGCTGATTGCTTTCTCGGTGACTGAGGCCAGCCTTATAGGACCTTAAATTAATCAAATAAGTAGTATTATTCCTTCATCATTGTTATTATTACCCACTATTATCGGTATCATAAATGCCAGCAGCTATGTTGCAAACACCATGCCAAGACCCTTCCCACACTCTGACCATTGAATTCTCTCAGCCCACCATGGCTAAGGTTTATTAATATTATTCCCACTTAGAAGATGAGGAAAATGAGGCACAGAATTATCAAGTAACTTGTTCAAAGTCGATCAGCTATAAGCAGGGAAGAGATTGGGAAGGATAAATAGGCAGTTGTAAAATAGCCACGGGGATGTAGAGTACAGCACCGGGAATATGGTCCACAATATTGTAATAACTACATATGCTGCCAGGTGGATACTTGGATATCAGCGAACGCTTTGTATGCCTGTCTAACCACTAAGCTGTAGGTCTGAAACTAATACAAAATAATATTGAATGTAAACTATAATTGAAAAAGAAAAAAAAAATTAAGGTCAATCAGCTGCACAGGAGTTGGATCTAGATGTTAAACCCAGGCACACAGAGACTAGAACAATGCATCCTGCTGGTCTGGTTATTAGAGCAGAGGAGTGTTCCCCATGCCACTTGGATAAAGTAATACTTATTATTTTTTTATTTTTAGTTTTGATTTTTTACAGAGAGGAAGGGAGAGGGATAGAGAGTTAGAAACATCTTTGAGAGAAAGGCATCAATCAGCTGCCTACTGGGGATGTGCCCGCAACCAAGGTACATGCCCTTGACCGGCATTGAACCTGGGACCTTTCTATCTGCAGGCCGATGCTCTATCCACTGAGCCAAACCAGTTTTGGCATTCTTACTTCTTGCATTGCTTTGAGCTTTTAAATATTTTTAATTGAATTTTAGAGAGGGAGAGAGAGAGAAACATTGATGTGAGTGCACAACACTGAAGGACTGCCTCTTGCATGTGCCCTGGGCATGTGCCATGACATGAAATTGAATCAGCAGGGTAATGCCCGATTAGCTGAGCCACACCGGTCAGAGCTGAGTTGAGCATTTAAGTGTAGTCCTTCTCAATCAGGTGAATCTTAAATGAGACTCTGGGGCACAAAGGCCCAGGTGTTGTGGCAGAGATTTCTCTCCTGGTGCCTTGCTTTCTCGGTGGACATGCTCTTGACAGCCAGGGTGTGGGGGAAGTTAGAGGGAGAGATATGTATTTTAAAGGAACCAGACAAAACAATCTCTAATTCCCTTTATAAATGATTTCCATCATTTCAAAATAGAAACATTACTTGGAGCTCTTAAATGTTATATTTCTTCAGAGGTTTTTCTTGTACTTGTTGGCATTGGTTCATGTGCATGTATGAGTGCCTTAAACCCTTAAAGAGAGAATTTTGCAAAGCCTGGGCTAGATAAGTGATTCTCAGCCAGGAGCACACTGCTTCCTTTTGTGAAGGTTCATCTCTCCAGAGAAGGCAGACCCTGGCAGGTAATGGACATGAATGTTCACTGAGCTGAGGTGAACAAGATGGCACACACAGCATTTTTATAATACTTTCTACAATATATGAGCACCTTTTAGCTTCTGAGAATCCACTCTTGGAATGTTCTTAATTCCCAAATTATTCCTGCCAACCCTGGGTTCTTAATTCCCAAATTATTCCTGCCAACCCTGGGTTGCTACAGGGCTATATTGTTTCACCCTAGGCTATGTCAGTTTTATGATGGGAAAAAACAAAACAAAAAAATAACAACTAAAAGTTTTATCACTAGTGAGGTTATCTACATGGTTGTCCAGGAAATGCTGGTGTTCTCACATGCCTCAAATGCTACCGCTTCTTTTATTGCCTGTCTTCTCTAATACCTGTGGTCAGACATCTACCTGTGTGTTTGTATAACCCACACCTCTCATCTGAGATTCATTGCAGGTTGTATGGCCTACATCCTGTTTTTCCTGACATCCCTAAACCAACAGGTGTTTTTTAGGCTTCCTGGCTATGCCTGCATCACCTCCATCATCAGCCTTGTCTTCCTTACTTTTATGTCTGCAATAATACTCAGCTGCTGTTAACTCCCTGAAACATATTGTTCTTTGGGGGGTTATGAGTATGTCACATTGTCCCTGTGCTTTAAGGATGACACCTGTATTTTCAAGGAGGTTATATTCCCATCAATGAGCCAACCCATTGCACAATCTGTTTCCCCTTTCTTATAAGAGTCTCATCCTACATTGGAGCCACCACCTTTGCAGGAAATTGCTCCTTTTTAAGAAAAACGTCTTTATTAACTATGGCCAACAGTTAATGAAAACTCGCATGGTTAGAGCTATTATGAAACGTTAAAGCAAATGCAGTCCTGTAATCATTATTTAATAGAGTATCTTCCTACTAGATCCTAAAAGTAATTACATATTGAAGTAATCCAAAAGGAGGAATCACTTTCCACATCCTATTAATAGCCTACTGAGTTGCCAGATTTCTCAGCTGAGACTGTTTTCCATAGAAAACACGCAGTGATGGTTTATATCGCCCTGGGTAAAAGCATCAGTTCTTTCTCCTTGAGCATTTACTTTCATTATGCCATGTAAATAGCTGGAACTGTGTTTGCCTAAACTTGACATAAGCACAGGGAATCTTTTTAAATTCACAGGGGTAACATTCATTATTAAAAGTATATTATTTCAGGTATGCAATTATATAATACATCTTATTTTATACTGTATTATGTGTTCACCAAGTCCCTTTCCTCACCATTTCCTCCTTTGTCCCCTCTTTTACCTTCCTCAACTCCCCCCTGGTAGTCACCATACTGTTTTCTATGTCTCTGAGTTGATGTTTTCTTTGCTTAATCTTTTCACCTTTTCACCCTGCCACCACCTTGCCACCCTCTGACAGCTGTCAGTCTGAGCTCTGTATCTAAGAGTCTGTTTCTATTTTGTTTGTTGGTTTATTTTGTTCATTAAGTTCCAGATATAAGTGAAGTCATGTGGTGGTTATCTTTCTTTAGGAATATAAGGGAGGAAGCCACCTTCATGCACACAGATCTTTTCATTCCTTTTATCTCACTCCATTCTACAGCCCCAGCTTCGGAGATGAGTCTAAAGGCAGACAATGGGGATAAAAATATTCAACATCTCAGTCCCTCCTGGGCTGTTAATACTGAAAAGGGTGCTGTTTGGGTAGATGAAGAGCTGATCCGCCTAGGTTTTAAGATGCATTTACTTTGAAAATGTCAGACTCAATGGCACCTCTAAAAACACAAGAAATGTGGGATGGATAAGGAATGAGCCAAGCAAAGGAAATGCTGAGACTAGCCCCTCTCATCTGTCTAGCTCTTCATGAATTTATAAAACCTCCCCGTGGCCATTGTTTCACTTAATTTCTCAAACAGCCCTATGAGGTGGGCATGTTGAATATTTCCATCCCCATTTTCTAGGTGAGGCAGGAATATGGACATCAGAAGCTTCAAAGGCTCAAGTTCATGCTGCCATTGTGTGAAATAATGGAAAAGTTTGAGTAGTCCGAGGGTTCTCGCTAGTGAGCCTAACACAGTGTATTAGGAATATAAAGCTCATGTCTTTTCCAGTTAATTCTTATTGCAAAACCTTTGTTTATCCTGTAGTCAAATAATAACAGTCTTCAGAAGAGATAGAACCTGAAATGCAATGAATCAATCTAGGTTTCCAGGGAAAGTGTGAACCAAAGACAAACTATACTTCAGTTTTAATCAGAGCCATTGTCACTGTGGTAAAATAAATTTGCAAAGAGTTTTATAATTTTCTTCTAGGACATAATTAATACATATTCCTTGAAGGAAAATTAGAAAATCCAAACAAATAAAAATGTAAATGATAAAATAACTTGATGGTAATATAGTGTCCAGAAATAATCCTGATATTCTGTACATCCTTCCAGATTTGCCCTTGACATATATTATGACTGCCTTAAATAAGGCAGTCATAAAACATACATCTGGTTTCCCCCCACTTACTTATGCCAGCATCTTCTTATAAATAGCTTCCTAATTTCTACATTAAGAATGTCTGATAACAGTTGACTACTGCTACATAAGCACATCTTTTTCTTCGTCTTAAATATATATTGTTTTTATTTCAGAGTGGAAAGGAGAGAGAGAGGGAGGTAGAAACATCAGTGATGAAAGAGAATTCTT